CACAAGTCGTTATAATGGATTATCACAACTTATTATTATCAATTAGAATTTATAAATTAGAAAAATGTGAAAAAGGGGTTTCGTGAGTGCTTTTAAACTATTAAAATGGATTCAAATTGTTGCCAACCATATGACATAATATTTACTACTTTAGTAACATAGATTAAAGAGTACTTTAGTTAATGGTTATTAGTTAGTGGTTATACAGTATAAATTTGGAATTATTTACTGTCAAAGGTATGTTAATAGTAATTATTTGCAATGGAAGTTCTAGTGTAAGGGCAGGGTAGGCTGCAGCTCGTACGAAAATTTTGCCCTAGAACCATGACCGATTATTTGCTTTTTAATACTATAAGTCACATGTCTTAATTATTGGTGTTAACGTACTACAGTTTATTTACTTATTAACGCATTCAATTATTATATATAATAATATAAATATATATCATTTGTTTTTTGATATCACCAGGGCTCGAAATGAACCGGAATGTACCGGAACGCAGTTCCAGTTCACGACAAAATTTTTTTAAGCGTTCCAGTTCGTAAAAAAAATACGTTTACCGTTCCGATTCATACAAATTTTTACTGTACCTACCATATTTTGGTAAAATTTAAAAATTTTGCATAATTGTTCATTGTAAAATATTTAATAAACGTCAAACGACCATGATGCATAAGTATATTTATTGCTTATCTATACGATAATCGCCGTCCACCGATAGTATAATTTAGCTTTATTTACACAATACGTATGTGAATTTTAAAAGTTAAAAATAAAGTATTAGGTTGTTTGATTTGTAAAAATATAAAAATTTTGGGATTATCTATTGACATAACTCTTTGCTTTTCCAAACCTTGTTCTATAATTTCGAATGAAAAGTCAAAAGAAACCTAAACGTTTACTTTGAGAAAAAAAAATGTTTGAATACAAAAAAATTGACGCTCTTCTTAAAGCATTAGAATTACATTAACAATCAAAAGAAAAACAAATAGAAAAAAAAGATTCGAAACCAAATTATTAAAAGTATTAAAATCAAAGTTCACTACTACTAAAAAAGATTTTAGAATCATTTATAAAATTATAAAACTCAAAGGCCTTTTGTTGATTTACCGAAAAAAATAGATAATAGATAAACAAGTTTTAAATGGTATGAATATGGGAAACATTTTACACTCTAATAAAACGTTTGTGGATATAGCATTCTACATAGCATCAGAAATGAAAAAAAAAAATGATTTACCGAAATATGATTTTAACTAAAACAGTATAAAATAGTAGGTACAACATATGTATTAAAAAATGCTTATTATTTCAGGAAGGGGAAATTATAATTTTGGTGGCTTAAAGCCCCAAATCTTATGGTATGTACTAAAAAAAAAAAGAGTTCCGGTTCAGAAAATTTTCCATTTCGAGTATTGGATATCACCATATCGTCACCTCAGTTCAAGACAGCAATAACTCAAAAATATTCAGAATTGAGTTTATATACGTGATATTATTTGCAAAATGATTAAGATTTCGATTCTATAACGCAATAACTTTTAGTTGCATTATTCACCTCTAGAGGTCGTTTATTTCATTCTAAAACCAGTATCATAATTTGAATTATTGCAGTTTTGAACTGAGGCGTCGATATGATATAGATATAAATAAACCGATATTTTAATTGTTATGTTTACAATGAAATTCATATTCGATGAATACAAATTTATAAGACTATTTTACTATAAAATGTGTAATATAAGATGTATAAAATAATATATAATTCGTGATTACTAAACAACCACGATTTGTGAAAAGATTTGACTGGTTAAGTATAATTATTTATAGGTTTTATTGCTGGGAAAATAGTTTGGTTCACGTTACTTTTTTTCTGGGGAGGGTTTCCGATTCATTCTATTTTTTTTATTACAATAACATTTATAACAGTGAGAATGTATATAGGTTTACACAGATGGAATCTAATTAAATCAGGGGCTGGAACCGAAACCTTGGCCAAATTATGGAATCTTAGCCTTTAAAGAAGAAACCTTTAATTCAAATTGTAAAGAACTCAAATCGGAACCTAAATCATGATTAAAATTTTTTTTAACTTTTGGTTCTAAATTACAGGTTGACTGGATTCTGAAAGGTTTTTTTTAAGTTCATATGATCAAACCTGGATTAGGATACTTTTGAGCCCGGAGCAAACAATTTTAGGGGTCTATATAAATAAGTAATAATTAAATAGGTAGGTAGGTATTTGTTTTATAATCAAAAACAGTTTTATGTTCCTATAAATTTCTCCTTACCATTATCATCCTGCTAAAAATGGACGACATTGTCGATATTATAATAGCATATTATAATAACGTATCTATTATACATATAGTATAGCCTATAGGAAACGTTAATGTATTTTATCCAAATGTTTCTGATTCAATAAATAAAAATACCTACTATCCGCCACGGTCCCCTTTGTCCACCTCTCTTAATCACCGCATTCATACAATATATCATATATGTATTATGCATTGCACATAAAAACAAAAAAATTATAAATTAATATATTGTTTGAACTTATATTACATCATGTTATTCGTATTAATGTATTAAATGTATTCAATTTTCTTTTTAAACGTGCTATGCATAATATATCTATGATATATCTTAAGAACCGAAAAAAAACCTTTTAAAACCTAGCCAATTTGTGACTAGAACCTATGAATAATATAATGTTAATATGAATTTAAAAAATCTAGAAAATTAACGTGTATACTAAGACATTATTTGGGAAAATTGATTCTATAGATAATATATTAAAGTAATGACTATAAAAATTAATTATATTTGTTTTAGTGTTAACAAAGATCAAACATCATAGTCCACAACTTCACATAAAAGAGTATCATGTCATTTCACCAGAAATGAAAAAAAAATAATATTTTCATCTGATATAAATATTACTTATGTATTAATATGATATTTAAATATAATACGTTGTATTTTGTTATTAATATTTTAATATATAGCATTTTTTTTTAAAACTTAGTTATAATTTATACAATACTTAACTATTAAATGTTGTGATGTTTATGATTACCTACATTTTTTATTTACATTTTAACTGCAGTCACATTTTTGGAATTTGTCATAAAAGATAAAACCAAAAGTGAAGTATATCATTATAAATAAGGGTTTTTTATGAAAAACAAAACAAAAACATTTAAACTTTTATTTTGATGGCAAAATCCTTACAGGCAATGACGTACATTCAATCTTGCTCAAGGGGGAGGGGGGTTAACAAAAATAATCGTTATCTTTTTTTTTTTTATTGCATAGATAAATAAGATAAATAACTGCTATAAATAGATATTATTTTATACAACTTTTTTACCAATTTACAGTTTAATTTTACATTACAGTAAATTAATTGTTATTGGAATATATAAAACAGCATAGTTAACAAAAATTTTCAAACACCTATCAATATAATTATTTAATTATCATAATATTTGTATAGTTGTATATTTTAAGTTCAAAGCGTAT